AGGAACGCTGCTGGGGGCTGCCTGCCGCCGCGCCCTGCCGCCCGCCCCCTCGCCGCTGGCGTTGAACACGGAACGCTCGCGCTTTCGGACAGCAATTTGCTAATTAGCCCAACACGTTTTGTTCGGCCCTTTGTATATGTTCGGTGGGTGTCCCGGTTACCTAAGGCCAGAAAGGGATTAAGCACCTTTCTTCTTAGTGAAAGCTAAGGGAGCTACGTTATGATATACTCCCTGTGAATCAGGTTATTTTCCCCTCTTTAAGAAACGTAGTTCTCCATTGGTTTTTTCCCCCCTCTACTCGCCTTCGTGAGGCTTATACACGAGTTTTTCAGTCGGTGTACTTCCTGCTGCCTACTGTAATTATAGCAACAGGGTGCCAAATAAAAGGGAGACCTGCGGGAAAAAGAAGCACAACTGCACATCACAGCAGAATCCATTAAAAAAAGGGAGCGTGACTTAGGGAGAGACAGCAAATAAACACCGCATGCACGTTACATACAGTAGATGGGTACAAAAAATGTTAAATTGCACCTTCAAGACAGTCCATTTCCCCCAAAAGAATGCTGTAGGTATGGAATTATCTAAAGCTTGCTGCTGAATGCTATTGAGGGCTGTGATCTTCACGATGCATTCGGGTTGCTTCTGGTGGCTGGATAATCACTCCGAATTTCAAGGTGGATTAAAGCTATACTAAAACTCCACTAGTGATGCAAAGCCAGATAAGTTGGATATTATATTGTATCGTATTCCTGCGTTAGTTTATGTTGGCAAGGTTGTGCAAGAGACCTTTATCACTCGCTCATGTTAGCTTAACAGTTCGAGTTTCCCACCACCGAATATATGGATGATAATGTAATTGCTTTCACACCTGCTTTTCTCAGTTTGATGTTACATACAATTCTGTAATATGTACAAGGTATGGTGCAATGCCAGTGACAGCCTATACTAAATTACGAACAAATCCACCCACGCATTACTTGAGAGTAAGTATCATAAAGGCTGAAAAGCAAGTTTTATAAATTGGATTGAAGCCAATTAATTCCTGGCACGAATTTAAACTAAAGTTACGTTGTCAAGGTTAGTTACATAGTGTTCACGTCTACTAAAGTAATATTTTAAATCATAATAGGTATATTAGATCAAAAAAGGAAGCAATTGAACCACAATGTGAAGAAAAGGTGAAAAGTTAACATACCGTACATCACAGGAAGTTCATGTTAAAGTCACAGTGAAAGTTTCTATTATTCTTTTCACAACTCATAACTTCGACATACTCCTCTATGTCTTTTTTCTCCTACAAGTATTACAAAATTATAGAGGGTAAAGTGGGTACTTGCTGACATGACTCATTGCAATGTCCGGTGATAGTATCTCCCTGCAGAAGGTGTTTCAGCCGCTGATTTTGATTCTGACTGAGGTTACACTTTCTGTTTTATGAGGGGTATCTTGATGATTGTTAAAAGGAAGTGACCATAATTCGTGATCATAATATCATGCTTTTTTCTGCAAAGCTCTTTGAAGGACATTAGAAGCAAGTATGATGAAGAATGTTTGATGGCTTTTTCTGGCTGGGCAATTTTACTCGCAGAAGGCCTGCAGCATCCCAGCTACAGTTTAGTTAATTATTTTTGTTATGTAACATGATTAACAGAAGATGGACGCTTCCTTTTTAACTGTAAAACAAAAAAAAAGTAGTAGGGTAGTGTTGCAAGACTTTTAGGACTAATTCTGCACTAAATTAGCAACGAGTAATACCACCAAAACCTTTAGATTTTAGGTACTGATTAGTCACAAAATAGGTCCTTTAAAAGCCGACTGATTCAATATTCTAAGTATTGTATATTAATGCCTTCCTTATGCAAAAAAGTAACTATATTTAAATATATGTATTTCTATATACTTCTATTTCTAGAGTTAACTTCGAGGGGAGTTATAATTCGTATCTTTGTTTACAAAATTCAGCAGTATTGCTTGTGACCGAGAATTATGATAATAAGGCCCTAAAAGTTTCTTCCTTTCTTTCTTTTTTGCATGTGTGGGGCACTTGATAATTTGAGCACAGCTGGATTCTCTGCTTTTTGTGTAGCCAGCTCATAGCTCTTCCCCACGGTGTTTTCACAAACAAGGGGGTCAGCACAGAGAAATGTGACTGCGAAGCAACAAGCTAATCAAAACTTACAGGAGAGTCAGACGCATAAGTAATACCTACTGCTAACTTCCTTTAACTGTTTAGATTGCAGGTTGGTCCCTGTAAAACTGGTTATGTCTCTCGCAGTCGTAATTGTAAATCAGGCCCGCGACACGTGCTGTCTCTGCCTTCATGTCCATGGCAGGTTTCTGGGACGGAACTGGGGCGGTGTTTTATGAGCTGATATTATTGTCAAACAGGTTCCCTCCCTGAATTGGCTCATACATGTTTACATTCAAACTAACTTTTCCGTGGTGTCTACACGGACAGCTACAACTGACAGATTACGTATGCTGCCTGGGGAGCCGTGACATTGAAGCCGCGGTGTAACTCGCCTCCCAGGCTGTTAACTATTGCAGAATTCAGCTTTTTCGAGGTCCCCTGAAACTTAAAGCAATTCAGCAAGTCAAGCATTTCAAAGCATTAAATGATGTTAGTCAGAACGGTAATAAAATCTCCATACTGTACCGTCGTTACTTCTTTTCCCTTTGAAGCAGTGAATCCCTCACGTCTTCCTTGTAGTTACGTGCCTTTTCCCCTCAAAATGGCCCTTTCAAATTAACCAAGAACATCAGAAACACGAACAGCAAAGATTTCTGTTCTGCATTCTCGCCTCTCACAGCTACCGCGACTTGACATTGGCCCTTCATCCGTGACCTTGTCCCTGCGGAGCAGAGCCAGCACCGCGGCAGGACCGGACCCTGCCCGGGAAGCCGCCGCCTCC